TAAACTGTAAAAAACATTCACGACTTTGAAATACTGTATCTCATTTCCTATATAAAAAGCCTATAATATTTCTTTTGTAATGTCTAGAGTTTCGTAACCCGAAAACAGTGGTGGAAATCACATTCCGAAATTTCCATAAATAACTGAAATCTTTAGAGGTGTATGAACAAAAATTTCACCAAAATTTTGAGAATAGTTATAATGTAAATGAAAAAATTTGTAACCAAAAAATAGATAACCAGATTTGAATTTTCCTAAACATCTAAAGTATACTACATTACTAACGTATCAATCAAAATTTATAAATAAATTTATGTCTATCTGTCTGTTTGTCTGTTTGTCTGCCGTCTGTCTGCGTCGATTTTTTTAATCAGATAATCTCAGAAATTACTGGACCGATTGTTGTCAAATTTTATATTTATATTAGGAATATCGTGTAGATGCTAAAACGAACGGCAAATTTTTGCCTAATAATCCTGCCAACACTTTGTTGATATCACTTCAAATTTTTCATAATAAGTAATATTTAAAAATGAAATTTGACTGAGGGAATAAGATAAAATGAAAGGAGGTGTAGATGAAATTGGAGATAAACAAGTTCCATATGGGTATATTTATAGCGAGTTCTTCTAAATAAAATTTTGGTGGGATTGTGAAGTAAGAGGTATAATAAATACATACTTAAACAATTTTATCGATAAGTTTATTAGTTTCGACACGATGTAATACTAACAACAAGTTACTGTATTTCCATAATTTCAGAAAAATAACATCCGTTATTATTGACTCAATCAATAAAATAAAATGATTCATTATTAATTTTTTGAAACATCGTGCATAAGCAATTAAAAAAAAATATACCGATAAACCTATTATTTTGCGTATATTAGACAGGAGCTATTTTGCAAAATTCTGAGATAACGTCATATAGTTTTTGAAGTAGGTGAACAGAAGATCAGTTTAATATAAATATTTTTGTACATTTTTGTTTTTATAAAAATGTAGATATCTAAAAAAAAAGTGTAGGAACATGTTACTTTTTAAATTTAAATGAAATTTAGCTAGCAAAATGTTACCATGAGGTTGTTTGTGGGGATGATCAACTAAATCGAAATTTAAAATTTCAAAACACTCAGTCAGTAATTTCGGACAATAAAATCGTTAAAAGACTCTGTCGTCTATCCGACGACAGACAGACAGACAACGGAAACGGGAGACTTTTTTATATTTTAGGAATTATGAAGTGTTCACTGCCATTAAAAGAATGTGGAAGTTGTCATTTATTTTCGATTGCTCAAGTAAAAATTTTAATTTTGTTCTAAAATATTTGGCTATTAAAATACCGTTTAACCTCTCCTAAAGTTTTAATACTGAATTTGTCTTCATTTTTTAGTTCTGGGGCAGTAGAAAATATCGTAATGAAGTCATTTTGAAAAATATCAAATTTCAAAAAACAACATGTTTCGCGTTTCCGGTGTCTGTTTATCCGTCTAACGATTGTATTAGAATACACAAATCCCTCTGTTGTAGTACATCTGATTAACTTTTTGTTTTTTTTTTTTTTAGTAAGCCGATAGTTAAATTCACCATATTATTTATACCAACTAAATATGTATTAAGTGTTTACTAGAAAAAAATAACAAAGTTAACGTCGGATACATAAAATATTATCCACCCCATTCAGAAAGTTGACGAGTTTACCATAGTGAAATATTGAATATATCTTTATGTAATGAAGCTTCTAAAAAACTAGATCTGGCAATGAAATAGTCGTTGACACTAACAAACAGCTGTAAACAAGTTGTAGTGGACTGAAGTGCAAAGACTCTTTGAATCAAAACATTTTTTTGTTGGTATTTGTTGAGGGTTCAAGCAAACATACGCTTGTTTATATGTACATAACAACATAAAATGCATAAGTTTGTCAAGTTCGGGTTCGTTCATTTATTATGAATTTATGACACATAAACTGTTTGTTTGTATTTATTTTCGAATGTCAATTCTATTCATTTAGTCGCTTGCATGCAAGTATTTCTTCGAAATACTGCACCTTAACGTAAATCATAATAGACGTTCATTAAATATTCAGTGACTGTGTATTTGTTTTCTTCTTTGAATATGTCGATTCGGTTTGTTATGCGCTGCTTTTCGATCGCATTCGCAGGTGTTTATACATTGAAGATAATTTTGTACCCGACTTCTTAACTCGTTAGATTTAAGAACACATAGCCAAAAGAGAGTTTCTGAGACTCTTCACCGTAATAATGATCACCTTAGAAACTACCTCCGTGTTGTGAGAACCGGATTCCTTCCTTCGTGAAAAAACAACGGTGTTTATGCCAAAGTAAAAGTAAAATGAATGTTTACCAAGCAGTTTTTGTATTTTTGCAACGTTAGAGGGTCAACATGGCTAACGACTATGAAGTTTTTCGAAGTTTTCAATGTAACGACCAATAAACTTCTTTCATTTCAAACACTAAAAATGGGCGTCGCTACTGAACAACAACAGTTTTCCGTTGATTAAATGTATAGAGTGATTTCGCTAAAACTTCCAAATTGCTATAGGCGCGTAAATTACGCCTTCGAATATAAATTGTTTACGCATAAGTAACTAAATTGTTTATCTTTCTCTAAAGTAAACATGTCTGGAATGAGAAACGCGGATAATTGATCACGAAAATGCAAACTAAAAATCACGTTATTACCAACAGTGTTTTTACAATAGGTTTCACGTATCCGAAACTTTTTCGTCTTATGGTAACTAGTTGGGTTCACTCAGGTGATGTCTTCACGTGTATCCATTATACAGATAACAGGATAATGTTATTCCTAGTAAAACTTGGGAACTTTCCGAAGCCATTTGCAACGATGTTGCTAGTAAAGCTAATTATAGTTTAAACTAAGTTATAGCGTTTTTATTGTACTTCCAAAATTAAAGCAGCCATTTACATCACGGAGGGTATAACGGGATCTTCACTTCTCCTTAAAGAGTCGAAAAACAAAAAATAATTCATATTTGTTCTGACTGCGGGTCTGTTCATGTAAATTAAAAATAACACGATTAACACGGTGAAACAAATTTTGGACTTCATGACAGGTCAACTTACAGGAAATTGGTTCAGACTCATTATGAGTATTATCGAGCGTGTCAATTTTATTTATGGAATTGGAGCTTTTTCACCACCGAAAATAAATACATCAAGTGGTTAAACACTCAATTCAGCTTGTTTTATTATTTGTTAACGCATTTTTACCTCTTAAACCGTTCTATTTTTCAGTCAATAACCGAGTTATATTTTATTTTATATAGTTCGAGGGATTCTAAAATTTGGCTCTAATCTCTTTCTCTTTTACCGTTGTGAGTGGCTGAAGACAAAAAAAAAATGTCCATCAAGTGACACCTTGAAGACGTACGTTTTGTTGATCTCACCTTATAATCACTTCCTGTGTTATCTGTTCTGAGTACAAGCAATGTAATTATGAATATACGCTGCTTAGAATAACACTCCTACACATTGTCAACATTCACCAAGTTTTAGAATGAATAAATACTAATGAAATAACACGCATTTCCTCCTAATTTATGTTATTAATGATAATTACAACGAAAATTTACTTAAAGTTCGCTCCACATTTCCGGTTTTAAGATAATAACTTGCATGGGATGAAGTAAACTGAATATTATTAGCACCTGAAGTCATGACTAACTTACAGACGTATAGGTAGTCCAAACAAACATAAATTTACATGAGAAGTTGCATTCAAAATTAATGTTGTAGCAATCCTCTTTAAGTATGTTTAAAAATTGAACAAATTTAACCAAAAATTTGTATTGAGACAAAGAGAATATCATGTATTGTCACGTCTTGTGCTGCTATTATTGACGTTTGGGCCACGAGGTGAATAGCTGCGGGATTTAATTTAGCAGAGTCACTGCGTTAGAGCCGGCTACTCTCTAAAGTGGTATTTGCTGTACTGTAAATGAAATAATCTACAAAACTGTGTCAACCGATAACTTCATCTAATTCTGGACAGCAGGTTCATCAAAGTTTTTGTTGGTATGTCATTAATGGTGAAGGCCAAAAAGGAGGAATCTATACAATTTCTGTGTTAGTGTCCATTTAACTCCGTTTTTATCACTAAATTTAGACTTAATGGAAACGTGTGAAGACTGAGTAAATTAACTCTTGTATTATTTGATGCTACATAAAATGACAAAAATTGACTCTTCTTTGATGTTCTATGATGTTTTAAACCATTAAGAAGCAAAATTCTTAAACGACTGACGAACTACTACACGAAACGGTGCTATAGTTCCTACTAAACAATTACACAAACTACTAAGAAGTCAGAAAGTTGAAAATATGAGTGAGACATTGACACTTTATAAAAAACAAAAGAACAGTGAAACATTTAAAAGCCAGCAGAGAAAATGCAATAATAGGCATCCAACAAAAGAACGATCATAAGTGAAAATAAAGAAAATAGAAGCGATTCAGCACATGTGATGCGAATGTGCGTTTGGAAATATAAACACTCTAAACTGTTCCGTTTTCCATAAGAACAGTCGACGAAGTTACGATAAAATAAAGAAAACGTTCGACTAGATTGAAACTAACTTTCAACTATTTTGGTTTTGGGGAATCTCGATGAATATTAATGAATCATCTGTAACAGTGTTATTGTGTAGTCTTTTTCTGTATAAGGTTGGTTTGCGTATGCGGAGAGAAGGAAGACCTGCCAACTCCTCCAAACTTCACTAACGCACCTTCGGTTTGAAGGTGTTAATTATGGGTAGCGTTAGGGCACAATTACACGACTGCGCGTTTTCCAAGTCGAGCTCGATAAATGATAAATCACGTCGCATTTACATGTTATGACTTCGTTGACCGCCAGTGGCGGTTGACGAAGTTACGATTGCGAATTATTATTTGCCCAGCTCGGTTTGGCACACGTGCAGCTGTGTAATCGGCGCTTTAGAGATAGCGTGGTGTAGTTACCTGTATGTTGGGAGCCGGTAGTGGTGGTGAGGGTATCGACGGACTCGCTGGCAGCCGGAACGGTGGTAACGACTGGGTGCTGATGGTCGTGTCGGTGGTGCGGGCCGGCCGACTGTCTCATCGGTACTTGGCGCCCCGCCGGACTGCCGCCCCTGATCTACGGAGCTGTGTACACCGCCACCGGTTAGTAAAGGGACTTCCACGCCACATTATCAAAAGTGGTACATGCACATGATGGAAGTTGGTGAGGGTGAAGAAAGGGACCACTACCAACAGCATTGATCAAGAATAGAGTAATAGGGAAAGACAGTGATGACCATGATCATGACAATATATATTACAGCCGATAATTGTCAAATTAATGATGAGTCGATTTCCAGTAAAAATATAACTCCTGATCAGAGCAACAGTTCAGGTTGTATCTGAAAAATTGCGTTTACGTTCTTTGGAAGAAAGTAGATGTGTTAAAAGCATTCCTATTTAGGGCAAAGTAGACTTCGTTCATTTTGAATGAACGACTACTTGACTACTTCTATTCACAATTTGATAGTAAAATCACCTGTATTTCTTAAAAGAAGTAGACGGAGTATAGAATGCCCGTTCAAATAATTCACAATTCTTTGATGTATGTTCGAATTTTCTTTCTAATCATTGTAAGAAAAATTTCTCTTCCAGACTTCCTAACATTTCAATGAAAATATGTCATCGCTGGCAATGCTAAAACCAATAAATTATTTTTTTTGACGATTTTGTAAGAACATTGCTGATCTTTTTTTTTTATTTTTCGAATTTCCTTTTGGTGTTAGTATTGTGAAATATTTTTTTAGTTTATATTTTATCGAACAAAATACATAAGCTTTCTTTGTTAATCCTAATCACGTGAAAAAAAATATTTTCCAAGTATACATGGTCCGAAGAAAATAAGAACAAGGTCGCTAATGCTTAAAAATTCGTTTTAGATTCTGAGACAGAACTTCCCTATCAGCTAAAGGACAATCAAAGAAATCCAGTTTTTTTAGAAAAAACAAAGTGCCCGGTAAGGAGATGGAATTCGTGACTTCAGCATTATTCGCACTATGCTCTAGTCTAACCGACTAAAACAATAAGAACTTGCTTAATGTTCACTTTATATTCTAGTATAAAATATTGTTATAAAATTTTAACTTTTTACAAAAATGTGGATGGCTATGGTAAAAAATCAAGGCCCATTTATAAACCACAAGTACAAAAGTATGTTACAATACAATTTACATTTATTATGGAAAATTTTGAGACGACGTCATCAAATTGTTGGTGGGGATGATCAGAGAAATCTTGTTAGTGTTTCATCTTCAACAGGATTAATAAACTGTATAGTGTATAGTATATAGTAGTAAAGATGGGAACGGAAAATAATTAGGAGAAGAGTAGGAGAGGAAAGGACCGAAGAAGAATACATAAATATAAAGACATATCAAGAACCTAAAATTGTTGATAGCATAAGTTTAAAGAGATTGCAGTGGCTTGGTCGTATCAAAAGAATACAACAAGATAGAACGGTCAAGAAGATAGTTTGGACACAACCGGAAAGAAGGAGGAAGAGAGGGAGGCCAAGAAAAAGACGGAGAGAAGCAGTTATGAGAGATCTGAGAGAAAAGGAATTGACGAATTAGACAAGAATAGAGCTAAGAAGAGAACATTATGGAGAAACAACAAAACTGTGAGCCTAAAAAATCCTGTTGATAGCCAATTTATTACAATACTGTCTATAAGTATTTAGTTATCACTGTTTAAGTTTTTTGATAAACTAATCGACTGTGGAGGGACATATCTTCATTTTTTTGATGAATGCTCTATACGTAATGTGTAATTTTTGCTTATTAACTATCAAGAATTTTTCTTTGCTTTTTGCCATATTAATTATAAAAAACAGATATTTCGCAATTTTATCATCAATTTAATCAAAACTTAATTCGAAGTGAAAAATATATCACACCATTTTACCTCGAATTTTCAAAAAAATGTCATGTCCGAACATTTACAAAAAAATGGCCTAATTCAAAGAAAGATATTAAAAAAGACACAATTAGTAATATGTAACTATTTTATTAAGAGGAGATTTCTTCATTTGAAAAAAAAAAAAACGTTGGTTCCTAAATACTTATGAATAGAAGTATATATACGTATAAAATTTGAGAACAATTGGTACAGTAGTTTCGGGTATTATCTACTAAATATCGATACAAACGATATACAGGTGACAGTTCACACACAGATGACAAACGATAGACGACAGACGGACTGAAATGGCAGACCTATTTTTTCATATTCTACGGATTATGAAATGTCGAGAAATTATGAAAGGAACCGATAATGGATTGATTTAATTACAATACTGAAGAAGGTACCTAGCAACTGTTCAAGCTTGTTCAAGTACTGCACGAAAAATTATGAAAAAAAAATTGAGAAAAAATCTGTTTTAACAGAAAATCTGTATAAATAATTAGTTGACAAATTGCTTTTATGAAAAGAAAAAAACTAATTTGGACCAAGAAGAGAAGACGCTAGACGTTTTTTATTTCTGCTTGCAAAAAGCGATAATTTCCAAAATCTATTTTTTACTATAACTTAGTCTGATGGTGAAAAGTAGCCGTTTTTTGGCACCGGGGGAAACCAACAATAAAAAAATAATAAAAATTATTAAAATAACTAACAAAATCAAGACAAATTCATGAACCACAAGCATAGCAGTATGTTATTTTATAAAATTTATATAGCATGTACTAAGCAAAATTTTGAGATGACATCATCAAATTGTTCGTGGGAATGATTAGGCAAATTTTCACCATCTGCACGATATTTCTAACATACATATGGAATAGTCGGTGCAGTTGTTTCGGAGATTATCTGTTTAATAAAAACCTGACAGATGATAGTCAGAAACGCGAGACGTACTTTTTTGTACTCTACGGTCCATGAAACGTCTAGAAAACAAGAAAGTAGCCATTTTAAACTGTCTTCCCCATTCGGAGACTTTACTCTGTTTATTTTATTTAGAACTAGATTTCTGAAAACACATTTAGAGTCTACGTACTGTGAAATTTTAAATTAGCTTTTTTAGATCAATTGATAATACTAAGTGTTTCCGGTTAATATGGTCGCAAATTCATTACTGCGTGTCAGTAGTTTTTCAGGTCGGTTGTATATTTTCAAGCGGTGTATAACTTGGTGGCCGTATAAATATAAATAGAGAGCTGATGTGGCGCATGCACATGAATAAAAAAATGGAATTCAGCAAATTTCCAACAAAACGCATTTGTCGTGGGGCAAGTATAAAGGGGCCAATTTTAATATTCAAAGTAGACGTCGGTGTCATGATATGTACGGGCGGCTGACGCACACCCAACCTAATTTACACATTTTACTTCAACGCAGCGAATTTCATACACGGCTGGAACGTTTCTCGGGAGCATTTTAATAAAAACCCGACCATATCTGTAGCTGACAGTTTCCTAATAAACGATTACAATAAATTTTAAAGTTCGACAGTCACAAATAGTCCATTAGCATTTGCGCAAATGTCGAAAGGGTGTACCTGTGTTGTGTGGTCGTGAAGCAAGCGGCTCGTTTTAACGTGTTTTAATTACGAGTTGGTTAATATTGCAAGATTTAAAATAAAATTTTGTTTAAGGTTTTTTGATTGTTGTTATAAGTAAAAATCTGAGCTTGTTTCTACCGATTTTGTCAAGCATATTAAAATGCGAGCATCTGTTTTGCGTGGCACTACATAATTCTTCACCTGTCACTCAGCTGCTACAAACGTTTTCTTACAGTTGCTGATCTTTCTTGTAGCAGACGAATTATTATCATCTCATTGTGTATTTCTTTTTTTAAGATCTTACAAGAATTTACTCTGCTCCAGCAAATTTTGTATACACTATCTTTTTTCTAGGCCACATATTTCTTTGAAGGCTAACAAAGTTATTCTCGGGTCGCTGTTTCTGCGTGAAATTCAATATCGTTCACATTTTATTTATATGTGTATGTTGTAAAAACCCGCTTGTTAATTTGGGATATTTTTATTTGGTCTGTAGTTTATATTTTTTGATGTTTGTCTTTTGTTAGTGAACAACTTAGAAGACAACATATTTTTATATATTCTGATTAACCTCTTCTTTACAATCACAGTTCATTTTTGAAATTCAGATGCGACGTTGCCACGTTATTCCAATTTTCCTGAAATTTGTTAGCAATGGAAGAGTTCATAAAAAATCGCAATAGGGTTATTTTCGAAATCCTTGTTACAATATTTTGTGTAGGGATAAATAAAGATACACGCTTTGTTGTGGTATATATAAAATTCAGTCTTATTATACAGTATTTATAAACGAATTTTAAATGATTACAATTTTCCCATATCTATGTCAAATTTTTCAAAAGAAAAGAAAATTGGAATGGAGTGACCACATCGCAGGAAATTTAACAATAAATTACAGTTAAAAGCCTAGGAAGAGAACAATGACAGTATGTAAAAATATACAGGGTGTGATACTCAAAAAAACTAACTAACATCCAAAAGTTCTTTTTTCGTTGGATCTACTTTTTGTGATTTTTCAAAAGGCAAAATTTGGGAAGATAATATTTGCTTTAATAGTAACTCAGATGAAAATAAATATTAATTTCAGTTTAAACTTAGAACGACGGCATAATAAATAATTAATGTACTGGAGACATTCAAATGCAATGATTGCAAAATCAATCTTTAAAACCAATATCCATCTTAAACTTTAAAATATTTGTCTGCGTCCTGACATTCCTGTCTAAAATATATATTCGATATAAACATATACCGGGTGTACGATCAACCAAGCTCAGCCCTATGAAAATTCAAATTTTGATTTTTGAGTTTACGGAACTGTGATCCAAAAATACAACGTTTCTGCGTGGTTAATAATAAGTCTTGGTAAGAATTAATTGAAAAAAATGTTTTTAATATCAAAATGCCATTAAATCTACATACAATTTCAGAGACTTTTATGGCAGCCAGACATACGATTTTAATGATTTTTCTTTGGATGAGGTAGTTAGATACTCATTTAAAGTCCATCATAATAAATATTTAAAGACACAGTTGAGTTAAAAATATTTTCAAGTTAATGAGTTTCTTAAACAATTATTATTATATAGATTTGTTCTATGGATATTTTCCACGTATATTGTTGCTAAACTAATGTATGACATTCAAAAAATCAATGGAAATACAAATTTTCTTTTCTTAGTTTTGAGGATTGTATGCATCTTAACTTTTTTGACAATAGTGGCCATGAGTTATCAAGAAATTCTCCGAAATTTTTCTAAAATGACATATAGCACTTAATCCAAATCACTTTATAAATTAATCACCTCCGGTTGATTTTAACTACAATTTTCATCTTGTCAAATTACCGTATATTTAAAAGTTTCACTTGAAAATGCAACGATCAAAGACAAACTTTCAAAAATCCATGGCTGTTTTTGATAGTGTTTTTATTGTTCCCATATGGTCTTAGTTGGTCCCCGATGGTTTCGCTCCCGCTGTTGTAAATATACTTTTGGCATCTAAAATCCTCGACATACGTATTTAGGGAAGCGTTATTCTCGATCGTCAATTGTTTTTTGAAATTAATGACTGCACGCGTTTTTCTACCAAAAATTGACAAATCATTTCTCTTGGGATAGAGTTTTTTTTTAGAATTTTTTGTAATGTAGATTGGCATGATTTCGCCAAATTATCCCCACCAATAATGTGATGACGTCTCAATTCAAAATCTGGATAGTAAATCTCATTTATCCCAGATCAAATTTTTGGAAAAAATCAAAACTGTAGAACATTGTACAATTTAACTCTAAAACTGCAAAATCGAATTCTTTGAAATCTTGCGAACGCTTCAATTTATCAGTGCACGATTAATACGATTAATCTAAAATGTACAAAATAGTACATGTGGTTTATTAATGCATTCATATTTTTTATAATTGCTTATACAGACGACTCAAAAAAATGAATGATAAAATAAATAAAATTCTCAAAATCAAATGTTATCATTTTTCGAAAAAACTGGACATGTACTTTACTTCAGGAGCGAGACGAGTTCTAGCTAAATGATCTTGGACCAATTTTTTTCCTTACATAAGCAACTCTACATTAGATAATTCTAATTTTTATTTCGTAGATTGTCGTCTTTATATTTTTTTAACTATGTTGAACTAAAATCTTAAACAAAATGTCAGAAAAGCACTTAGGAAAAGAAACCATTGGGGATGAAAATTGCGGGGACAAAACGGGATGAAAAAAAATTTAACATTATGTCACTGATAGAAATTATCTTAATAATTACATAATCATACTATTAGAAATCATTGCATGAAAAATACCTCTGGCTCTTATGAGGTTTTTGAATACATTTTCATAATATAATATTTCCATTTTTAACACAGACATATTTTAATTATAACCCGTTCACAATTTTCTCTATTTACCGGAAGGGCATTTTTTTAAATACTTTCTCATAATTTTTTTTTATATTGGTGAAATTTCTCGTCACTTATTTTTGAAAATCAGTGTTTCAATTATTCATGGAAATTTTGAAATGCATTTTTCACTACGGTTTTCAACTAATAAAACTCTAGAAAGTATAGGACAGCCGTTGTCGCTTTTTTTTGTCAGAAATGAGATACAATAAAGGCAGTTTGTGTCAAAGAAACAGCTTTTATTGTATCTCATTTCCGACAAAATTATTCGACAATGTTTTTGTTGTAGTTTTCATAGTTTTCTAACATGAAAACAGTGGTGAAAACCGCGATCTGAAATTTCCATAAATAATTGATTTTCAAAGGTACGTGATGAAAATTTTCATGAAAATAAAAAAAAATATGACGACAAACTATTAAAAAACTACCCTTGCGTTAAATAGATAAAATTGTGGACAGTTTATATTTCAAATTTCATAACAATAAGTGTCTTAAAAATGGAGATATTACATTACATACAGCGATTGCAGAAATAAGTAATAATGCCAACAAAATAGCTATTTACATATCACGTTGCAAAATGAATGCTTGTTTCGCACTAAATTTTGAACAACCAAATGTAAATATAGGGCTTTTAAAAATGATTTTCAGGGTGTAGTTAACCAGTTATACGGATGCTTCTGGTGTCTGTCGTGAATCCTTGGGCATTTAGTAACATTCGCATAAAGTGATAGGCGGCACACATCCATGACTTACTTCGACCCTATAATCATTTATAGAAACCCTGTATAAATAAATAAATTATAATTTTGGTCATTTTGAAATCCACAGGTACTACTAGAAATAAAACGGTGAAGGATGAATAAAAATTTCCAAATTGGGAGGAAGACGTTACTTTGAAAACAAGTTAAATATTTCGGAGGCTTCTACGGTCGGAATCAATACATGATCGTTTTCCTGGTTGGAACCGTGTAAATTGAGTCTTTGGGCTCAACGTTTCGCACACTTTCGTAAGTGGCATCTTCAGGAGCAGAGTTAAGAATAAAGCAAAAGAGTAGGGTAATTCAGTATCTCAACCATACCAGAGGCGAAACTCTTTTTCAATTTGTCAAAAATATTGGTTGTAGTAATTACATTTGCGAGCATTGAAATCGGGCCACACAAATCCTGCCACTATTCACATCTGATTTTGAATAAAATTTTCCACCGAACTATATTACACTTAAAGAAACTAAAAAGCCATTAGAAAGACAAAATATTTGTCTTTAAAACAGAGTTACGAAAACTTCATGAAATTGTTTCGCAATATTCTTTTTTGGACAAAAAAAAAGGGAAAATTGTTCAATAACGAAATTTTTTATGTTAACAAAATCAACGATTTAAAAAAGAAAATGATGTTAATATTCGGTATTGCCACCCCTAGCTCTAATAACCGCTCGCATTCATCTATTCATTGACTCAATAAAGTGACGACAACTTCTTGCGAGATATTAGTCCATTCTTCATCAATGCCCATTCTGAGCTCTTGGAGTGACCCAGGAGCCGAGATCCTATCTCTAATTTTTCGTTTAAGTTCATCTCACAGATGTTCTATAGGATTCATATCCGGGCTACGTGCTGGTCAGTCCAAACACGCTATATTTGAATAGTGGTCCGATTTTAATGCTCGCAAGTTTATTTATACTTTGGGGAGTTTTCAAAATATTAATGAAAGATATAAAAAAATATACCAAACGTACGTATTCGTATAATTTATAAATTTCCTGAATACGGTATTGATGAAGTTAATATTCTTTTGCACTTTTTAGTAAAGAGATAGTTGAAATTAATTCTGTAATGCAAATATTTTCGGTAGTCATTTGATTTGTACGTATTTTTAACATATCTGTTAAGTTCCAATTCTTTCAAATCAAGATCTATGAAAAATAGTACATCTTGAAAAATATCAAAAAACATTGTTTTTTTTGTTGAAACGCAAAAGTGACTCTCGTGATCTAAATTACTTTTGTTGTAAGTTACTGTGCCACAGGCACTTGCTGTCACCTTCTTTCATCATAATTAAAAATCCACTCAACCATCAGAAGCTGAGCATCATATCACAGCTCTGTAAATTAATAAAATCTCCATCGAACGGAGTGTTATTGAAATATCGCCCCAGCTATTATTGTGGCCACCCGCTGTCCATATAACAAATATGAAGCATTGACAGTTTGATGTAACAAATTATCTCGATCAATAACGTTCCAGTGACACCAAATCCAGACGAATAAAATAGTCATCATCCTTAGTTGAACGTGACGGCGTTGTCGATGTCATCACTTATCTTGATTGCCTTATAATCCTTCGCGGTATCCGGCGCGTTTAAGTGGTGTTATCTGCTTTGTACTTGGAACTGTAACGTCCCATCAAAGTAACAATTAATTCGTTTTATTACTTTTTCAACCTATACAATTTAAGATCGCACTAAAACGTAGACAATTGTCGGTAAAGCTGGCAACCGTAAACCTTATCGGTTACACTAAAAGGAGCACATTGAATCCTTCTTACCTTAAACAGAAACCGTTCCATCTTTGTGCGCTTGTTTGGTCGCTCCTGCAGCTGGCGATGTAACCCTTCAGGTTGGCAGTCTGGAACAACAATCCGACGTAAATTTATATTTCAAGAATAAGTATACACAGTTTGGTGCATTTCAAAATAGTATCCATGTGTGTTGACACCAACACGTTATTTTCACTTTTTTGTGGCCGAGAAAACCACTCGACTTCTAATCCGAACTTGAGGTAAGATTGAATAATAATGAACCGGTTCTCAGAAGTTATTCTCGAGAGCCGAATTCAGGCCACCAGATCTGCGAAAGTCAAAGTTGTCTTCTGAAAGCGAATTCATGCACAGAAAGCACACATGTTGTATTTAAAATGTCTAAAGTTTTCGTTACACATAAGAGCGAGCTCTGATTTGAACATGAATGAACACGAATAAAGCCCAGATATGGGCTCATGAGTGCACAACGAATTCGAGAACTCGTGAAAGCACCAGTTTTGGTGGATGCGCGGTTCAGCTTTTCGTGAGCAATAAGACTTTTGAACTGTTATTTGTATCATTCTTGTTAAATTCTGCATCTCTTGTTTCTTTTTAAAATTCCATTTGTATGTCAACTTAAACTGCTCTTAAAAATTAGTCAAAAGTTATTTTGATTGAACTTTCCTCACCCCTGAAGTACAGTAGAATAAATTTTGCTTCTTTGAAAGATTATAAAATTTGTTTTTTATGGAAATCTATTTATTTTTTCTGAAAACTCTTATTAAATAAAAACAATATAAAGTGTAGAAATATATTTCAGTAAAATATTTAAATAATGAGATGAAATCATCAAATTTTGGTTAGCATTTTATCATCTACAATTCTACACGATACACATCTATAATTTGACAATATTCAGTCCAGTTATTTCGGAGATTATTTGTCTAATAAAAATCTGGGCAGATGGCAGACAGACAGACGGAAACGGGAGACGTTTTTTTTTTCGTACTCTAAGAGTCATGATACATCAAAAGAACATGAAACTATCCATTCATTCATTGGATGGACTCTACTATACTTACTTAACTAGACACAGAATTTAAGTGTTTTAAAATTAGCATTTTGATCATAGACGCTAACTAAAATTTTCCTGTTAGTTCCCAATAAAAAATTGATGACGTCAGTTAAAAAAAGTAAAAAAAAGTAAATCAAACGTGAAATTTATCTCTTAAAATTTTGTTTTTTGTAATTTAATAATATATAAACATCGTCTTGTAAGAAACCTAAGAATTTAAAAATTTTTCTTTGTACAGCCTAAATCTCCTTGCGATGGATTGTGTAGATGGGGTACCAAATAACTGCTCCGTATTCCAGTCTTAATCTTACCAAAGAATAAAATAATATAATAAGAGTTCGCTGATTCAGAAGTTATCTACAATTGCGATAAATAAAACCATACATCGTGTAAGCCTTAGCAATAATGTCTTTATAACGATTTGTGAAAAAAACGTTGCTATCGAAACTGATACCGAAGTCTTTAATGCAGTCAAGTTTTTCCAATTCAACTCCTTTTAAATTATGGTTAAAAACAACGGTGTATAAGAAACAACTTTATATTTAAAGATATTTACCAATGGTAAAGCAAAATTAAGCAAAACTGAAGATAGTAACAATCATTAATATAATTTGAAATCAGCCAATATACGTTTATTGCAGGGAATCGCATCAGGAAGATCGTTAATAAAAAGCAAAAACAACAAAGGTCCTAAGTTCGATCCCTGTACGACCCCAGAAAATGGAGTAAATGGTTTAGAGATAAAATTTATGTGTTTCACAAATGAGATTCTACCGGTCAAATAAAAGAATAAAAATTTCAATAACGGATTTCTGAAGCCAATATTTTATATTTTATCCAAAGCCTTTTAGAAATCAGTATATGACATCACATTGTGCCGGATGTCTGGACAGCTAATAGCTGTGAAGACAAGACTGATTTTGGCAAATGAGATATCTTCGAGGAAAATAAAGGGTGGGTGGGTGGGGTTAATGCTTGCCAAGATGAGACTGATTTTGCCAGATGACATAGCCTCTAAGAAAATGAAGGGTAGAGGATATATCATTTACCAAAATCAGTCTTATCTTGGCAAGTATTGGCCTCACCCACCCACCCTTTATTTTCTTCGAGCATATGTCATTTCCCAAAATCACTCTTATCCAAGTAAGTATCAGACCCGTCCACTCGCCCTACATTTTCTTAGAGAGTAGGTCACTTGCCAATATCAGTCTTATCTTAGCAGGCACTAGCCCCACCCACCAGCTAGTAGCTACCAAGATAAGACTGATTTTGGCAAATGACATACCCTCTAAGAAAAGAGAAGTTGGGCGGGGCTAGGACCTGTTAACATAAGACTGATTTTTGCAAATGACATATCCTCTAAGAAAAGAGAGGGTGGGTGGGTGGGGCTAGCGCCTGCTAAGGTACGACTGATCTTAGCTAGTACCTCCTAAGATAAGACTGACTTTTGCAAACAACGTATCCTCTAAGAAAAGAAAGGGTGGGTGGGTGGGGCTAGTGCCTGCTAAGGTAAGATTGATCTTAGCTAGTACCTCCTAAGATAAGACTGACTTTTGCAAATAACATATCCTCTAAGAAAAGAGAGGGTGGTTGGGTGGATGGGGCTAGTTCCTGATAAGGTAGGACTGATCTTAGCTAGTACGTCCTAACATAAGACTGATTTTTGCAAATAACATATCCTCGAAGAAAAGAGAGGGTCGGTGGGTGGGGCTAGTGCCTGCTAAGATAAGACTGATTTTGACAAATTATATATCCTCTACCCTTCATTTTTTTAGAGGGTATGTCATTAGCCAACATCAATCTTATCTTAGCAGGCACTAGCCCCACCCACACGCCTTCTATTTTCTTAGAGGGACCTCATTTTCAAAAATCAGTCTTATCTTAGCAGGTACTAGCTAAGATCAGTCTTATCTTAGCAGGCACTAGCCCCAACCACCCACCCACCCTCTCTTTTCTTAGAGAATATTTTATTTGCTAAAATCTATACGTTGTATAGATTTGGCGGTAGTACGTTTGATTTGGAAATGAAAGGCTGGGTTGGGTTCCCAGCTAATCCAGTTTTCTTTATCATCCTCAGAAAAAAAAAACTAATAATTGGTTCTTATTGAAGAACACGAACTGTTTTTATTTTAGAGGCGAGGGAAATTCAGCTACGTAAATCACTTTATACCATTTTATATTTTCGAAGCGTAAGCCAGGGAAATATTGTAGTACGAAAGGTTATTTTAATGTTTTTTCTGTTTCAAGACCCTAAAGTATGGAAAAATTGGTCTCCCGTTTCTATGTTTCTGTCGTCCGTCTGTTTGCTAACGATTTTATTAAACAGTTGATCTCCGAAACTAGTGGACGAATGCTGTGAAATTTTGTATGTATTTTATGCATATCGTGTTATAAATATTGTGTAAACTGCAAAACGTTAATCAAAATTTGTTTGATTATGCCACTAACAATAATTTTACATAGTAAATGTTATTTAAATTTGATGAAATATCATACTTCTACACTTGTGGTTTATGAATCCGCCTTGATTTTTACCCTAGATATCCTGAAATCAAAATTGTCAAATAACATTTTAAAATTTACATGAAAACTATAAAACCGATTATTCTGAAATTTTCTAGTTGTTTCAAAGTTATCGTAAACATGGTAAATCGCGATGACGTCATCTCAAAATTTTGCTGAATTAATTCTGTCTAAGAGTTGCAAAATATTATAACTATAGTTATCGTTTAGAACTGTTTATACGGGGTAACCAAAAAAAATAGTCAGTGAAACAATTTCTTACTTTATTGATCAAATAAAAAAAAAACTCATTCCAATTTCCCGAAAATTATTATTAGAATTATACTGTACCTATTGATATACAGGGTGAGTCGAACAATAAGCGCGCCGTTCTCCTTATCTCATTAATTATTAGCAATTGAAAAAAAGTAAAAAATCAAAGTTGTATGGTTTTTTGAGTAACATACATTAAAATATTTAGTTTTAATTATATAGGGTTTCTGTTTTTAAGGCGTAATCCGTGATTTGGTTAGGTTTTATAAACATAGTTTATTTTACTTATTATTGTAATCGAGTCCGTAGACCGACTTTCTACTTTTACGTTTTCTCGACCTTTCATGACCCCAGAGTACGAAGAAAGGTCTGCCGTTTCCGTCTGTCTGTCTGTCTGTCTGCCGTCTCGGTTTTTATTAGACAGATAGTTTTCGAAAGTACTAGGCCGATTGTTGTCAAATTTTGTATTTATGTTAGGAATATCATATAGAAGATGGTAAAACGCTAACCATTTTTTTTTTAATTGGGTTTTAAATTGTATAAAATATCATAGTCCTACACAAGGAAATCAGAATTTAAAACAACATTTTGCTATTTAATTTTGAATCTGCCAAACCGAATGCTTTGAAATCTTGCAAATGTTTTAAAGTGCATAATGAATTTTTAGTCAAAATATATTTGATTATCCTCTCCAAAAAATTGATGACGTCAGCTGAAAATTTTGCCATCTAAATCCATGCCCTATACGTGCTGATCAGAAATTTATTGAATCTTCTGGTATATTTCTTAAATTGGAAACTTTTCTCAAAGGAACTTTTCTTGAGGTCTGATCTTCTATTTGATATCAGCAAATTTAGCAAACGGTTTAATAATTTGGAGCAAGCGTTATTTCAGCAAGAATCGAATCGTTTTCTGGTGATTGCATGAACCGCGATTGCATCTATGTCATTGCACTTTAAAGACCTTCATAATGCAGTTTTCGCCTGAGCGAACACGGATTGCAATTATAATCAGTTCCAGTTCTATCTAAATGGGAGTAGGCGCCTTCAGTACACATATACGAGTATATGCCTGTATGAGCTTCACCGGGCGCTACACAAGTACACAATTATCTTCTAATTACATTCAGGGGTTAATTGCAGGTATTGTAATGCGAACATTTATCACCGCTTTACTGCGTAACCACGATTTACCTGTTCTCTGATCACACCACGTATTAGCTGATTCCACTCGGACATAATGCATCATTATGCGATCAAG